GAAGGAAGGAAGGAAGAAAGGAAGGAAGGAAGGAAGGAAGGAAGGAAGGAAGGAAGGAAGGAAGGAAGAAAGGAAGGAATGAAATAGCTTCTAAAAATGCTTCTTAAATAGCGGTAAGTCATCGAGTGTGTATGTCCCGGTTTTTCGGCCTCAAGCACCCGATCAATCTGTATTGAGAAGAAACTTTAACATTTTACAATCGGAGATGTTCGCTTTCAAAAGGCGTGTTAAGTGTTTTGTAAAGGCGTTAATAGAAAATGGTAAAATTATCGGATCAGTGATGAATTGCTATACAATACAGATCAACGCAGTGCCTGCGGTTCTTGATCATTTGCAAACCTAAGTTCTAAAAGTGTACGTTGCATTTTTAAAGCTCTTGTGTGGAATAGCTCTTTTATTTTGTACCTTGACGGCTGGCGGTTGATAGTTATCCACATCTTTCCAATTGCTGCTAATGGTTTGCGGTTTGAAACGAAAGGAAAAGCTTTGTCTTTGGTCTTGTTGGTTGTCACAGATTCCTCTAATTGTGATTGTTTTACCACGAGTTATGTCTTGTGTTTTCAGTTCAACTTGGCATTTGTCAACTGCCGCTTGTCTTCTTTGTGCTTTGTACTTTTGGGGTATCAACACAGACACTACTACACTGTCAGATCCAGGGACATTCATGGTGGGTAAAATAGGAACAGTTGGTCTTAAGGTAACTGTTATGTTCTCTGCTACGTTGCATTCTTTGACAATCACGTGACGTGGAGAAACCTGGAAACATTTACAGATTCTATCAAATCATGAATGCACATCTTTGTCACTTAATGTTACTTATCAAGTCAAAAAGTCCGAATATCAAAGAGACAGACAGTTCTAGGCCAAATGAATTTAGTAAAAAATCAGAAAATCTAATCTAAAAAGGAGACAAATTAGGACGCAAGTAAACAACAACAACAAAAGCGCTAGTAGCAACAACAAAAGAAACTACAGGCTGGAACCTACCTCGATTCCTACGTAATAATGATTACTGTCTTTTCCTTTTGCTGTCCATTTATTTGTCTTTTTTGTAGAGAACTTCATGAAAATTTTGCACCACACCTGTTTATTTAATTTTATTAACATAAATTTAGACATTGCGTAAAAGCGGAGCTCCCAATAGGCAAAGGGAACCAAGACTACACAAAATTGAAAGATGGAAATAAAATCGGTAAAAGAATTCCAATCGTTTAATTTTTATTCGAGATCAAGATGTTATCCTTTTTAAAAGAATCGTTAAGTAAAAAAAATCCAAAATGCACTACATCGTTTTCTTCGCGCAAGGCTTATTCGTTTTCGATCTTACTTATCTTCCTTCCTTTCAGAATTCCTCTAATATCATCACCAATAGACAATTTGAGGTTTTCTATTCCAGCCTACGTGTCAATCTCTTGAGAACAAGATTCTTCGTATCAAATGTACATCCATATTAAAATGTATCATCTCACAACGTAAAAAAAACTCTAGGGAATTGCGCGTTCTCTGAAATGGGAAGACCATTATACCCAAGCTGAATGAGTCTATCAACATACAGTGACTGTATATGATTTGGCATATATCTTGCAACTTACCGTGTCGCCTAATGCAAAGTGATCTGGAAGTACAATGGAACTTTGCCTTCGTGTACAATCATTCTGAGCATCTGCTGGCTGGTCTGGAACACACCACATGTCCTTCTTGACAGGTTTAGTTGATCTYCCATACCATTCAACCAGGTATGAGACGTTCCTCCACACAGGAAAGTCAAAACTGCAAACCATCTCCATCTTGGGCACAGCAGAGTCATTACGGTATGACACAGATGGCT